TATTATTGTCAAAGGAACAAAAGAATGGATTAGATTGCAACCTGATGGTATTTGGTGTAACACAGCGTGGGTTAATCCTATCCTAGGTAAGTGGGCTTACTCTTTTAAAGCCTAATCTATCACATTTTGTGGTGACTCAAGGAATGTTCAAGTTGCTTACAAATTAGATTTGCCTTATCCTTCATGTTTTGGGTTTGTCAACTTTAGGGCCATTCATCCAACATTGGTTCTAAATTCCAAGTTCATAACCCAAATTTTCCACTATCATTCTTCTAAGGATTTTTTGTAAATAACCACCCTAAGATGTACCATGTGTTGAACTAACCACCCGTTTTTTTCGAAATAAAAAAATACCACCCATAAATGTCAAAACCATTAGATTTCACCACCCTTCTCCAATTTCGGCTAGTTTTCCGACTTAGGGTACATGTGTCACCACTTAATTTCTCGAAAATAAAATAAAAAATAAAATTAAAAAACCCCTTAAAGCTCCCCCATCTCCTGTCACCCCACCAAAATCAACCACTTGTCGGACTACCCTCACCCCAACACCATTACTTTTGCCGACGAACCTCACCAAGCCCCAATTCTTGCTTGCAAAACCCCACCTAGTCCCCACCCTAAACCCCTACCCATGTCAAACCCCACCCACTTCGCTCTTCCCCACAATAACTCAACCCACGTTGTCGTTTCCTCTCGAAACGCGCGCATCACCGCTACCTCTGCTCACAAGGTTGCACTCTTCAATTTTTATTTAATTTTATGTTTTGTAGGGTTTTGATTTGTTGGTTTGATAAGATTATTGAATTAATTCAACCAACAATGGATTTGAAGCACGTACAAAACTTCTGAAATTTTTAAGTGATTTTGTAATTGATTGAAGAAGAGAGAGATAAAGAGGAAGAAGAGAAGCTTTAGAGAGTTTCTAATTTCTCTGGAAATATGGGTTGATAGCGGTGACACCTGACGGTGGTTGTGACAATGGTGGAGAGATTGAGGAGTGGACGAGATTGCTGGAACGGAGATGGGAAATGGAAGGGGTGCAAAAAACGGAAACGGGGAAGGGGATGGGTTGCCGGAGATGGCAGCGGTGGGCTTGGATTTTTTTATGATTTAATTTTTATTTATATTCTGTGGGTCCCTAAGTCGAAAACAGGCCAGATTAAGTTGGAAAACTAGCCGGAATTGGAGAAGGGTGGTTAAATCTACTGGGTTTGACATTAATGGGTGGTAATTTTTAATTTCGAAAAAAATGGGTGGTTAGCTCAATACATGTTACATTTTAGGGTGGTTATTAAAAAAAAAAAAAAATCTTCTTCTAACCTTGAGCTCCCAAAACCATCAGCCTGTAGTCTTCCTCCTAACACACACTCTCATTTCTTTGGCCAAGGGTTAAATTAAAATATTCATTTTAATTTACAACCTTACCATCCCAAGTCAACAAATACCAACTCTACCAAAAATTCAATCATCTATCATGACAAGCTGGTTGTAGGGAATATTTCAAACATTATCCCAAGCTTGAACCCCACTGTGATCATACACTTAAGCATGGTGGCGTCCAAAGGGAAAGAAGATAGAGCAAAAGAGTCGCCAACACGTTTTAGGAACTTGTAAACCATTCACGAGGTGAAGGTTACACCCCTAAACGATCTAGGAGATCGTCAACTCCAATAGGTCTAGAAGCATGACTGGTAGTTCGGGGATGAAGGTACAAATCCAACCTAAAAGAGATTGAACCTGCCCTAATAATATGCCTCTACTTTATTCTGATCGTATTCATGTGCGCTTTCTGACTAACATGCAATCAATAGGATTAACCCTAAACCTGTTTATCTATGTTGGTTGAATATTAATGCACAAATAAAACTATTATTGGCGATCACTTGAATTATAATCATATTTACCATAATAAGATTATTAATTATCTTATTAAGCGTGTTTACAAGTACAAATTCGCTTTAAACATAAATAAAAGGTGTGATCAAGCAATAACGATAATAACATCAAGGAACATAATAATAATTATAAATAACAATCATCATAATAATAATTATAATAAATAATCATGTCAACGCTAAAGAATAATAATAGCAAGATCCTAGGCATGATACTAACAAGATTAATAAGAAACCCTAGCATGTCACCAAATAATAAAGATCAAAGTTTAGCCCAAACATGATACTAACATGAATATTAGGAAAGGATATAGGAAGCATCATACTTTTAATCATACTTGATATTAGGATTTTTTAGTTGTTACCCTAAACATGATACTAGAAAGATCAAAACACCCTAACATGACGCTAGGAATCATAATAATAACCTAAGCATGATTTCTACATCATAATATCAATGAAAACCATTAAAGCCCTTACTTGGATGCCTCGTACCTCTTTCTAATAACAAAATACACGCGTTAGTAACTTCAAGGAAAATAATAAAATCAAACAATTAAAATAAATAATTGAAATAGAGCTTTGGGAACAAACCCTCAGAAATTAAAACCTTTCACGTCTAGGGCAAAGGCAACTTCGAACAATGCTAGGTGTTTCTTGGTCTTGTGAATGCGGAATTTTGTATGTAAAAAGGTTTGTTTAGAAAAGAGAGAGAAAGAACAAGCTTTAGCTTTGAGAGAGAAGAGAATTAGAGAATTGTTATATTTTATGAGAATTGGTGATGAAAAACGGAGATTTTAGGAGGCTATTTATAGAGAAAATCAGCCAAAAGGATAGAAACAAATCAGAGTTTTGACGAGGAAAAAAGAAGTTAGCACCAGGCACTGACCATTAGCGCCAGGCGCTAAGGCTAGTGACAGGTTAGCGCCAGGCGCTAATTAATTTTTTCATGCATTTTCTTAATTCAGATAAAATTTAGCCGTACAGCAGGGCAAAATCGTATTTTCCTAAAAAACACACTTTTATTTTGATTAAAACTCTAAAAACTCAATAAAAGTCAATTTATCAATGCTAATTGAATTAGGAATGAAAAGAACCTTCTAGAAGAATCTAGAAGACTAAAATCAATTCTAATTGCATTAGGAACGATAAATCCATAATAGGCCATCCTCTAGATCATTGGGCCGCTTATAAGGCTCAAACTGGGCCCAGTTTAGTAATTGGGCCTTAACTTCCTCATTATTCATCGGAATTGGGCATATAATATATCGTTGGAAAGCTCTTTTCAAGACCCATCGAACTACACCATTATTGGACCAATATTATGGACCAATTATACTGGATTGACTTTTTTCTTAAAATAGGTTTTAAAAAATAGAGAGAAAATAAAATAAATTAAAACTATCCACAACACTAGACTTTCCACACTTTCACTTCATTCGATTATGATTCGACGTGAAAGGTACTTATCACCGGGTTTGGTTTTGGGGAGACACAAATGGGTTTCTACAGAAGCCCCCACTTTGACTGAGTTTGGAGAAACACAAGTTTCGAAAATAAAAGTCAAAGTATCGATAGGGACGGAGAATGATTCAGAACGTTATGCGATCCTAAGCCACTCTTGTAACGCCGATACCTGCAAAACTAGCGTTAGTTAAACAGATAAAAGAGTTAAGAAACGCGTATCTTGCACCGTCGAGCACACGTCTCTGTAGGTAACTGATTTGTTGCTGTATTTGCTGTATTTGATAACCTTCTGCAAGTAAGGGAACCCCATCCTGTTGTTTGTTTTGACGATCTTCTGCAAGCTAGAGAATACCACCTAAAGACAGCTACGCTTGTAACTGCCTCCTAGACTTCTGCAGGCTAGAGAACCCTATCGAAGATTGCTTCACTTGAAACCACCTTCTAGCACTTTGTGACCATCTTCCGCAAGCCAGGGAACACGATCGAAGATAACTTCGCTTGAAATCACCTCTAGTTTTTTGTGACAACTCTCCGCAAGCTAGGGAACGCTGTCGAAGATATCCTCGCCTGAAGTTATCCTCATTTGTTGCGATAATATTCCCGAGGAAAATTACCGAAAACCTGTATGTCGGTGCCTTTTATTGTTTATGAACCAGTATGTCGGTGCCTTGCGATGAGCCAATGCTTAGGCGCTTTAAGACAAGTGAGACGATCATTCATCAGGCCGATTACTTTATGTAATGGTAATCAAGCCGATTACCAAATCATGTCAAATTGCTCAGAGGGGCTAACTGGCGTACCAAGGAACCCAAAATATTGCTGTATTAGGTCGAAATTACCGCAATGAGTGGATGAACAGTCCGTCGCCGTTGAAATATCGCTGGCGCCGCATATTTGGCTCTAGCGCCGGACGCTGGCACTAGCGCCAGGCGCTAAGCCTTATCGTCTGGCGCCAAGGCCTGTCACTTGGCGCTAGAGTCGAATTTTCCATATATACCCCTTTCTTCTTCATTTTCGCTGCTGCTGCTCATTCTTGCACGAGAAATCGCCTAGAACTTCAATTCATCCGTTCTTGCTCGTTTCTCAACCAAATTTGCTCAAATTTGTTGCAAATCAAAGCTTATTTCATCCATTTTCCTTATCTATGTAAGTTTTTTTCCAAACTCACTCCGGTTTTAATGAATTTCGCATATGTTTGTTCACGAATTCCTTGAAAATTCAAAACTTGAATTGCTTAATTCACTTTGTTTATCAAATTTTATGCCATGAAATTGTTTGATTATGTTTTTATATTGCCTTGGGGGTAGTTTGAGACTTGTTTGACTCAATTTGGTGAAGAAACGAACAAATCACCATTGTTGGACCTCTTAAGGTCGGGAAGACAATGTGGTTTGTTCTTGATGTTTTTGCTAGCAATTCTTGTCCAATTTGTCACAATAATTACCATAGTATTGCAAAAAATTGTTTGAGTGCTTCAAAAATGCCGTATATGCTCAATTTGAATTTGTGCTCTGTTTTAGTACTACGTACTCTATTTTTTTTTCGAACATAGTATCATGTGGCTAGGCGAACCTTAGATACTTTAGAACCTTAATTTATGTCGATTTTGCACAATGTAGTATGGCTAGACAGCGAGGTTCGGGTTCACGGTCCTGAGACGTGCGACGGGAGCACGAGCCCGTAGAGGACGACGCCGACCCGTCCACTTCTCTCGGTCCTCTCCCTGAGTGGGACGAGCGGAACCTGTACTTCTCTCCCGATCTCCACATTTATGAGAGGGTGCGACGTGGGATCACGGTTGGTAGGACGCGCTGCCACGACTCAGGCTGCGATACCTTGGGCGACCTATACAAGATGTACATCGGCATTGACGGAGAGGTGAGACTTCTCTGGGAGTCTTGCGGGTTGGCTGCGTTGTTTGAGACCTCAGAGGTCATGATTGCCTCTAGCGAGGGTCATCACGTGACTCGTGCCCTGTTTGGGACACCACCAACACTTTCCACTTTCCTTGGGGTGAGATGATGGTCACCCCGACTGACTTCAGTCTTATTACGGGACTGGAGTTTGGCTCAGTTGCGCTGCCATTTGACAACGAGATTAGCGTCTTTTCCCTTGCAGTCAAGGAGCTGTTGGGTCCGATTGCTGTTCAGGCTCGTGCTGAGGTAGAGTCGACTCAGTTTAGCGCGAAGGGGATTTGTCGTTCGACTCTAGCGGCGGATTTTGAGGATGATGTGACCACCTGAGAGCAGCGGGTGCGTATCTTTGTGCTTATTTTGCTGTCATGGACGTTCTCCCCTGGTAGTAGAGTGTTGCTTTACTACCTACCTGCAGTCCGTGATCTACACTTGATCGGGACTTATGACTGGGCCAACTTGGCCTATGCTGACTTTGTTCGAGCGTTATGAGACTCGTGTCGACACAGGTTCTTCACGGGGAACGTCGATATGTCCGGATTTTGGTGGGTCGTAGAGGTATACTTTATCTCCCATTAAAGTTTAGCTCCAAGCTTTGATTAGCACTTGCTGATGCTTTTTGCCTTTTGTAGATCTGGTTCTACGAGTACTTTCCCTCGGTTGCGCCGGCAAGACCGTCACCACGCAGGTTTCCAGTGAGTGCCTCTTGGGGAAGCCGCCGCGCTAGGATGTCTACTGCTTATGTCCGAGATCAGATCATCTCGGTATGGTTCTTTATATATTTGAACACTTTGGTATTACCTTTTATGGATTCTTATCTGATAGGCGTTCTTTGCAGGAGCCTGACGTGCAGTACCGGTCGTGGATCGGCTTGGTTGTCCCTGGGTTAGCCGCGCAGTATACTGCTGAGCGTCGCTATTTCTTGGGGACATATGGAGCAGTCGCATATCTTGGAGAGAGGGTTGCTATTCAGCATTCCTCGGACACTTTCGTCGTTCCTGTTCCTCCACCGCGTCACATGTTCAATGCCGCGAGGTTGGTGAGCATGTTAGAGAGAGCTGGTACCCCTTGGCGATCTTATAAGATCCTTGGGTGGTGCTATGAGGAGGAGCTACTGCCGTTGTTGGCTCTAGTCCCTGTACTGGCTGAGGAGGTGGCGTTATGATTTTCATCTTTTACCTTTCGTTAAGTAGCCCCCAAGTAATGTTTTACTAGCTTTGATTTTCTTTTGTCAGGCTGGACCTATTGAGTTCGTGCCACCTCGTATGTCCATCCATTATCAGGGGACATACGGGCCGATCGAGGAGATGATTCCTCCGACTCCTGAGGGTGAGCGCTTCGTGGAGCGGTCGATTCCTCGTCATCAGACTCGGGTAAGCATTATTTATCTGTAATTTTTGTCCATATATGTTATGCATCATTACTGACTTTATTTTCCTTGGCAGTTCTCGCGCGAGGTGGTCACGGTAATGGCACGGTGCATAGATGCCTTCCGGAGCTAGCTCGTTTGGATGAGGAATGTGGCTACGTGTTGTCGCGACGACGCCGTTCAGGAGGTAGTTTTCTTTCTTATTTTTGCATTACTGCTTTTATTTTGATTGTTTCTGACTTAGTTTCTTCTTGCAGGGTCAGCCCATTCCTTCTCGTACCCGTACGAGACCTGAGGTGCGGAGAGAGCTGACAAGGTCTAGCTCGAGACGTTGCCGTATTGGTTCTGGCGGTCGGGGTGGTCGTTTTGAGGCTTCCCGCACCGAGGCGGTAGAGGGCTCAGGCTCTTCATCTGAGGGTGCACACGCTGCGCCGGTAGGCCAGGGAGAGGCTACCTCGGCTCTTAGAGGTGGTAGGATGTACGAGGTCGGCTCGTCATCGCAGCAGCCTCCACAGCCTCAGCCTTAGGTTGATCTTGGGTGGACAGGTCCTGTGCTGAGTTTTCCACCTCCCGAGGAGACAGGAACTGGAGCTGGAGCTGGTGGAGAGGTTACTCCTCGTATTACCCAGTTTTATGACATGATGGGTGTACAACCTCCGCCACCGTAGTTTATTCCTGTGCTTTTTTGTTTATTTTTTATTTTGACTTTTTATAGAACTTTGCCTTTATTAAACTCATTATTAGACATATTTGTATATACATAATATTATGAGTTTTTTTAACATTTATTTATTATTTTTTCATTTTTATGTGCATGTTTGTGTGTGCAAAGAATTGTGGTAATTAACTTTGCGCAAAAATTCCGTCTATTATTGATGGAGGGTATCCGACTTTCTCCCCCAAAAAGAAAACATGAAAAAATAAAAGTAAAAATATTGGATTTACAAAAACTTAAAAGTTAAGTCTAAATAAAATCCAAAAAATAATATAATTAATATTATTGATATATTAATTAAGAAGAAGACAAAATCTAATTAGAAAAAAAAAGGGTATAAAGAGAATTAAAAAATTCGTAAATTCATTGGTCAGACTCGAATCAGGCAAAAAACACGGTTTTGAAAGTCTCATATGATAAGACACGTTAGTGCCATCTGGCGCCACACTTTTGAGTTAGCGCCAGGCGCTAACTCTTAGCGTTTGGCGCCAGGCTCTGGCGTTTAGCGCCAGGCTCTAGCGTCAGGCGCCAATGTCTGGCGTTTGGCTTTGATGAGCGCTGAATCCGAATCCTTCCCAGATTGAAACTGTGCTGATTTTGTGCATATATAGCCCCCTGCCCAGCCGAATTTCTTCATAATTTCAGCAGATTAAAAATAACCTTATCTCTTGAAAAAATAATAATCATGTTTCTAGTCTCTAAAAGTTTTACCAACTTCACTCATGAATGGTGTCGGTCTCTAACTGCCAAGGAGAGAAAAGAGTTAGATTTTTTTCATATGGGGGGTATTTATGGTGTCAAGGGGGTAGATCTTGATGTGGACTTTATTCATACTGCTTAGAATATTGGGATGCAGATACTCATTATTTTAGACTAGGGTATGATGAAATTAGCCCTTTGTCGGAAGAATTCGGTGCTATCTTAGGCTTCCCTGCGTTAGATCTTGTAGTAATCCCTAGAATAAATGAATATTATTATAAGGATTTTGAGCGCTTTTTTAATTTAAAAGACAAAGATCTAACAAATATAGTAGTGGTAGCATAGTTAATTTGAAAGAATCTGCTCGCCATTATTTTGAGTGACCGTATTCTGAGTCTTTTCATGTTTATAGAAGAAGGGCTTTTCATATCAACTGGTTTGGAGCAGATTGAATCTGGGAGAAATCCAATGCCATTAATTGTTGGAGAGAGTATTCTTAGTCTTGATGAATTAAAGAAGAATCCAAAAGCGCCTTTTCGGGGCTCTCCAATTTTATTACAGTTAGAAAAATAATATTTTTAATTATAGAAATCAAAAACATATTTTTGTATAGTAATATTAATTTATTTGTATTGAATTTTTTTACAGATGTGGCCAATGGAAAGATTAGAATTAATTAGTCCTCCAGACAATATTGAAAAGTACACTCCAAACTGCTTTGTGAGAAGGAAGAAACGCTTCTCTAAGATGGGGCGCCATGAATGGAAGAAGGTCTTCGGCCTTTGCAATTTTACCATCAAGTGAGTCATCCCTTGGTGGAAAATAGAAAAGATGATTGGTGTCAACAAGCAACCTTTCTGCCGTCTTCCAAGCTTGTCCAGAATGACTTTTTATTATCTCTGCAGGATAAAAAGACAGTACGACCTACCTCAAACAATTCCTTCCGGGGATCTTCGTCGTCCCTATGAATTTCCTGTCTCTCAAGAAGTAGACAAATTTGATGCTTATTGGAGCGCTAGACCTTTATGGGAATTGATCACCCAAAAGGTTCCTCCTTCCTTGCCCAATGACGTGAAGAAGTGGCTTATGAAGAAACCTTCAAAGGACATGAAGAAAAATCAGAGTAAAATTGGTGTGAAGAGTCGTCTAGGTGACAAAGTGATTCCTGTTAAGGAACGCTTGGGTGAAAGAGTTGAGTTCAAAACACCTACAATGCCTAAGAAGAAAAGCTCTACGAAGGATAAAGGAAAGAGAAAAGCTGACACTACAGAGAAGAAGGCTTGGGTAGAGAAGAAACATGGGGTCCTAGCTAAGGGAGAAAGTATGTACTCCAAAATTGAATGTAGGTCCTCTAAAGGATGCCTACTAGATAAAGTTATGGATGAAGAAGAGGATGCAGATAAAAATTGGAAGAGAGCAAAGAAAGAGAAAAAAGATTAAAGCATTGCTTAACTTTCAATTGTTAGACTTAGTTTTAAATTCAAAGTTAAGTTATTTAAGCTTTATTTAAATTCCATCAATAGTAATTGTTAATTTATTTTATTAATGAAATTGCAGCTATTTTTAATTAAATTATCTCCTTTAAATTAATTTATTAAAGCAATGAAAACTGAAAATTTAATTTTCTAGAACTTTTTTCGAGAACGGAAGTCGAAATTTTTTCAAAAAAACCGAAATATTCCCAAGTACTTTCCAGAAAAGTGGGGCGACATAAGTTGTCGTCAGGTGCTAATGTTAAGCGGTTGGCGCCGGGATTTTTTCTGTGACGCCGATGTTTCGTCGATTTTTTGTCGAACTTATTATTAAGTCTGGGAGGCGAGGTTTGAAAAAAATAAAGTGGCCGCACCCGTAAAGGGTTGCCTACGTATCCTTTCTTAAGGAATCAGGCCAAACATGGCTCTCTTGAGTATCCTACTCATGTAATTATGGGTAGTAATGTTTAAGTTGGTCAAGATTTGTCATGTTCGAGAACTCATTGCCATCTGATCCATATCAGCTAATTTTGCTTTACCTCCTGATAGGATTGTTTTGACAATATAGGGTCCAGACCAATTAGGCCCTAACTTTCCCCTTGGATCTAAAACATTCTTCCTTAATGCTTTTAACACCAAGTCTCCTACTTTGATGTTTCTTGTCTTGACCTTCTTATTAAAATGTCTAGCCATATGAGTTTGATAGCACTGGGTAAGATGTAAAGCTTCTAGTCATTTTTCATCAAGTAGAATTAGCTCCTCATATCTCGCCCTAGTCCATTCAACTTCGTCGAGTTTGATTTCTAATGCAATGCGTAGAGATGGTATCTCTAACTCTACAGGTTGTACGACATCCATTCCATAAACCAAGGAAAATGACGTATTTCCTGTTGATGTGCGAATGGACGTGCGATAACCCCACAATGCAAAGTGAAGTTTGTCAGGCCAATCTTTGTAATTTTCTATCATTTTCTCGATGATAGACTTTAAATTTTTATTAGCTGCTTCAACTGCTCCATTTGCCTGAGGTCTATAAGGAGAAGAATGGTGATGTTGAATGCAATATTTTTGTAGCAATTCTTCACACTCGGCTTGAAAGCGAGTTCCATTATCACTTATCATTTCATGTGGGACTCCATATCGACAAATAATATTTCTTTCGATAAAGAGTGCTACATGTTTTGCAGTGAGTTTAGCGTATGATTGTGCTTCGACCCACTTTGTGAAGTAATCAATTTCTAATAGGATATATTGGTGACCTCATGTTCCCGGGGGGAGTGATTTTGCCAATAATGTCAATTCCCCATGTAGAGAATGGCCATGGCGAAGTGTAGGTGTAGAGTAGAGATGGAGGAATATGTTATAAATTGGCGTAAATCTGGAACTTAGGGCATCTTTTTACGTATTGATGACGACAATCCCTATTCATGTTAGTCCAATAGTATCCTTCTCGCATTATCTTTTGGACTAGCATTTTGCCATTTACGTGAGTTCCACAAATTCCTTCGTGGACTATCCTCATTGCTCTTTGAGCATCCTTTTTTCCTACACATAAGAGAGATCAACCCTTAGATATCCTTTTGTGTAACTCGTTGTCTATGAGTACATATTGGGAAGCTAAGAGCCTTAGTGCTCGTTTTGCTCTTTTGTCAGCACGGGGAGGGTATTCTCCTTTGGTGACATAGTTGAGTATATCTGTATACCACGGTCTTCTTCTTGGATCACTTCATCATCTTCTATAGCTTGAATATAAGCCGGTTTGTGCCTTTATTTCCATAGTTAGAGGCATTTTCTCGATTTCTGTAGGAATCCTAACCATTGAGGCTAGTCTTACTAAGGCATCAACAAATTGATTTTCTTCTCTAGGTAGATATGTGTATTTCACCTTCTCTAACTAATTAGTGAGAGTTTCCAAATAAGTTTGGTAAGGGGCTAGACTTTCGCTCCTTACTTTCCATATTTTAGAGATTTGATTGATGAT